TCCCCCTATACTATTTGATGGATCAAGGATGTCGACAAAACTAAGGTAACAGAATAGTGTCATATCCAATTTTCTATTGGCAAGTATAAAGATGGTATTGTATGTGATATTGAGGATATAGATGTGTGTCCTATTCTATTGGGGCGACCATGGCAATATGATCTAAATGTTGTCCATAAAGGCAAAGACAACACTTACACTGTACAAAGATGGTGTTAAGATTGTCCTTGTCCCTACAATAAGATAGAGTTGCCCCGTACCACCAGGCTAAAGGCAGATCCTTTCTTGTTGTTCCTACCATTGATGAGGATGTTAAGGATAATGCAGAGGTACATGCCCGTTTGGTGAAGCATGAAGAGAAACAGAATGTTGAGTCACAAACAATCCCCAATGTGTTGAGGTCGTTGCTAGATGAGTTTGAGGAGACCATGTCGAAGGAGTTACCGAATGGTTTTTCTCCTTTAAGGGACATTTAAAACCATGACTTGGTGTCCAGGACTAGTCTTCCAAACCTACACCATTATCAGATTGGACCCGAGGAATTCGAGGTATTGCAGGCTCAAGTTGATGAATTACTATGAAAGGCGCAGATTAGGTTGAGTATGAGCCCATGTGTTGTTCATGCTCCACCCACTCTTAAGAAGAATGGGAATTGGAGGATGTGCCTTGATAGTCAGGCTATTAACAAAATTACGGTGAAATATCAGTTTCACATACCCAAACTTGATGATATATTAGATATGTTGGAGGGCACCAAGGTATACTCCAATGTTGATTTGAAAAGCGAATATTATCAGATCCGCAATCGTCCAGGTGATGAATAGAAGATTACCTTTAAAACGAATGAGGGATTGTACGAGTGGTTGGTTATGCCCTTTGGGTTGTCCAATGCCCCTAGTACCTTCACAAGAGTTATGACCCAAGTGCTCAAGCCTTTCATTAGAAAGTTCATTGTTGTGTATTTTGACGATATTCTGATTTATAACCATAATGAGACTAACCATTTGCAACACTTGAAAGCAATATTTATGGCTTTAAATGAGAATAGCCTGTCCGTAAACTTCAAGAAGTGCAACTTCATGACCGATAGTCTAGTGTTCTTGGTTATGTGGTCAGTGATATTGGTATCTCAGTGGATGAGGAGAAGATTCGAGCTATTCAGAACTTGCCTGCACCNTTCTCCTTTAAGGGACATTTAAAACCATGACTTGGTGTCCGGGACTAGTCTTCCAAACCTACACCATTATCAGATTGGACCCAAGGAATTCGAGGTATTGCAGGCTCAGGTTGATGAATTACTATGAAAGGCGCAGATTAGGTTGAGTATGAGCCCATGTGTTGTTCATGCTCTACCCACTCTTAAGAAGAATGGGAATTGGAGGATGTGCCTTGATAGTCAGGCTATTAACAAAATTACGGTGAAATATCAGTTTCACATACCCAAACTTGATGATATATTAGATATGTTGGAGGGCACCAAGGTATACTCCAATGTTGATTTGAAAAGCGAATATTATCAGATCCGCAATCGTCCAGGTGATGAATAGAAGATTACCTTTAAAACGAATGAGGGATTGTACGAGTGGTTGGTTATGCCCTTTGGGTTGTCCAATGCCCCTAGTACCTTCACAAGAGTTATGACCCAAGTGCTCAAGCCTTTCATTAGAAAGTTCATTGTTGTGTATTTTGACGATATTCTGATTTATAACCATAATGAGACTAACCATTTGCAACACTTGAAAGCAATATTTATGGCTTTAAATGAGAATAGCCTGTCCGTAAACTTCAAGAAGTGCAACTTCATGACCGATAGTCTAGTGTTCTTGGTTATGTGGTCAGTGATATTGGTATCTCAGTGGATGAGGAGAAGATTCGAGCTATTCAGAACTTGCCTGCACCACGGACAATCAGTGAGGTTCGCAGTTTTCATGGCCTTACAACCTTCTATTGAAGGCTTGTGAGGCATTTCACCATGAAGCACAAACAGTTGCAGTGGACTGAAGAGGCAGCAAGGAGTCTTCAACTCCTTAAAGAAAAGCTCACTATTGTTCATGTATTGACACTAGCAAGCTTTAAGAAGTTGTTTGAAGTGGATTGTTGACGCAACGATAGACAAAGGGACACACAAAAATCACCATTTTCAGGTGTTAAGAACACAAACACTCTGGATCTACGGAGAAAATAAGAGAAACTCTCAAGAAATATTATAGATTTCAAACTTGAATGCCTCAAATGGTTACACAAATACCCTTTATATGGAGCTCTTCTATCATTTCCCAACTACCTATATTGAATGCACCAAACCACTTATAATAATTCTACCATCTCCCAACTACTTATTTTAATATATTTTTCAAATATTTCTACTAACTCCACTTACTCACAATAATACCTCTATTATCTTCCAAATATATCTTCCAACTACTCACATTAATATCTCTCAAGAAAATTCTAGAAGTTGAGCTCAAGTTGGATATCTATTTAAGGCCCATTATATTTGGGCTTATTACAAGATTAGGTCAATATCAAGATGGATCCAAATCTGCACCTTGTTCTACATCAAAATGATGCACTTCATCCCATGTAGGAAAACCTCATATGCTACTCATATTGCTCATGTGTTCTTTCAGGAGATTGTTCGTTGGCATGGTATCCCCAAGACCATTACTTCCGATCTTGAGAGCAAGTTCCTTAGTCATTTCCGGTGAACTTTGTGGAAGCGATAGGATACTTCATTGTAGTACAGCAGCTTGAGCCATCTAGAGACAAAGATGGTAAACCGGATATTAGGGAATATCTTGTGGAGCCTTTGCAAGAAAAATTTGAGACAATGGGATAATACTTTGTACCAAGCATAGTTTACATACAACAACGTGCCGAATAGATCCACCAGCAAATCCCCACTTCATATTGTTTACATTCGAGCATCTCTACACACGCTTGATCTGGTTCCATTACAAAAGCTTCCAAGAATGAACATTATGGCTGGACATATGATGGAGTAGCTAACAGATGTGCATGTAATGTTGAAACAACAGTTGAAAGCATCGGCATCTAAGTTTCAATAAGTTGTAGACAAACACCGATGACACAAGCTTTCAATGTTGGGGACATGATTATGATTCATCTATGTAAAGAACGGCTACCCATTGAAACCTACAAGAAGCTCAACCAAAAAAAAGATCGCCACTGTATAGATTTTGAAGAAGATCAACGACAATGCATATGTTATCCTAGTCGATATGGGTATCTCTAGCACCTTCAATGTTCAAGACTTGTTCGAGTTTCATTCAACTACCATCAAGCTCCCACATGTTAACTCGATGACGAGTTCTTTTCAAGAAGGAGGGACTAATGTAGAACAGGGCAGGCTTGGATCCATCTTGATATTGACCTAATCTTGTAATAAACTCAAATATAATGGGCCATAAATAAATATCAAACTTGAGCTCAACTTTTAAAAATTTCTCGAAAGATATTAATGTGAGTAATTGAGAGATGTAGTTGGAAGATGATAAACGTATTATTATGAGTTGGTGGAGTTGATAGAGATATTTGAAAAATGTATTAAAGTATGTAATTGGGAGATGTTAGAGTTATTATTAGTCATTGGGTGCATTAAATATAGGTAGGTGGGAGGTGATAGAAGAGCCCAATGTAAAGAGTCCATGTGTAACCATTTGAAGCATTCAAGTTTGAAATCTATAATTTTTCTTGAGAGTTTTCTCTTATTTTCTCTGTGGATTCAGAGTATTTGTATTCTTAACACTTGAAAACGGTGATTGTCTTGTGTCCATTCGTCTACCTATTCAATCCAATATTTTACATACTCCAACTTTCGGACACTTGTCACTCCCTAAAAGACCCCAGGCATTGACCAAATGTCGAGTTAATAGAGTTTCTATTTAAGTTGCCAAAGCAAATCACATCCATGTCTCCAGCTACTCCAAACTCCATAAATGCCGCCTCTGCTCACTCCTCCATCAAACACCTATGTTGCAAGCTCCACTACACCCAAAGGACAAGTCTCCATTGGAAGTTTATTTGAGCTTTTCCTAACCAATTCTACCCTTTCTTTCACTGAATTGACCCACCACAAATCATATAAGAAGAATAAAGCACTTGATATACATGCTCATTTGCTTAAATTTTTGAGCTAAAGTTTCAAAAAATTGCAAAAAAAACTTAAAAACTCATATTTTGATCCCAATTGATTGCTAACACAACTAGGTCCAAATTCCCATGATAGATTCATTTTAATATGGGTAACATAAACTTGGATTGAATTGGCCTTGAATCGATATCTTTTGGTGTGAATTAGACAAAGAAAATATTAAGGCATTCATTGGAGTTACAAATAAGTTGTCATAGCACCAATCAAACTCACTATCAACTTCATCTGAAATCTATGGGCAAAAAATCCAATAAATTAGTTTTAGGTGATGAAATCTGTTGTACCTCTAATTAGAAGACAAAGGAAAAAAGCATTTCGTTGGGTAAGGTGTATATCATGGAAGAAGTTGAAGATGGAGCATNTAAAATCTATGGGCAAAAAATCCAATAAATTAATTTTAGGTGATGAAATCTGTTGTACCTCTAATTAGAAGACAAAGGAAAAAGCATTTCGTTGGGTAAGGTGTATATCATGGAAGAAGTTGAAGATGGAGCATTTTGTCTCTTTCATAAATTATAAGTGGATTTTTGTCTTTAGCATTTAAATTTAGACGGGAATAATGTTTGGTCCATGTCAATTAACAAATTAGGTGTATGTATCACACCTTCCACTAATTTGGAAAGAATTTAAAACAATAGCACTTTGGTCCAAAACAACATGGAAGTTCTCTGAACATTTTGAATTCTCCTACAATTGCAACTCCTCTACCGAAGTGCACTCATCAAAATGAGGAAATGGTGTGGGATAGTGTTAAATAAGGGTCCGCCGATGAGTTAGAGAATCATCTTTGTCATGCAGATTATACCAGATCCCTTCCAGTTATCTTTCAAGCAATCAGAGGATCCTCAGACTGATGCTTCCTTCGGGGCTTTGGGAGAAGCTTTGTTGCAGGGAAAGCAACCTATATGTTACCATAGTGACTAGGCATTGGGTTGGTTTTCCAGAGCAGTCCTTAATTCTTCTACGTATAATAAGGCCACATACACCCAATTCAATAAGGGAATAAATTGGTGGAAATGCTACTTAAAAGCTCGGGAGATATGCATACTGATAATTAGTCATTGAAGTCTTTTCGAACGCTTCAACATGCCTAACGAAAGGAAAGATAAATGAATTCTTCTAATTAAAAGTCAATTAACTAACAGCAACCGACGACAATTCTGGCTGAAATGTTACTTTTTGAACATAGACAAGAAACTTCCAACTTTTTCCGGACTACAAACAAGAGTTAGTACATCCTTCTCTTTGTTTGACGATTCCGCTAGAAAGCTAAACAATCCTGAAAATGATTCAAGGGGCCAGGCCGGTCAAACCATGAATCTCCCCAAGCATAGGGAGGCAAATAGAATTTACCCCTAAACCCTGTTCATAATTTCCGTAGCAATCGCCAAAATAGAAAAAAGTAAAAACCCCTGACCAAGTTTCATGTACCATATTCAACATAATACAATTGACAAATGACAATTATATAAAGACATAAAATTATCAGTTAGATTAAGAATTCAGGAAATGAACATGAATATTAACTCGAAACCAAAAAAGTAAACACTCACGCACACCAAGTTACTATAAAACCAATATTTTTACCTCCCCACTGTGAGGATTAATTGTCTGAAGCACACTCTCAATTGCCTTATACTCCATCTTTGATGCTTTCTGTGTCAGCTGAAACGACCTTATGCACACCACATCCTTCCCTGCAGCCGTCTTAAATCGCAGCTTTATCTGCCCCTTCGTCTCTGTCTCCCCAGCAACCTAATTTTAAAACATAAAAAACAAATCTAAAAATTATACATCTGTGTGTGTGTGTGCGCGTGTGTGTGTGTGTATATATATATATAAAGAGAGAGAGAGAGAGAGAGAGAGCAAAGACCTTGGGATCATGGATGAAACTGTGACCAGACCGAGCATTGGGGGGCAATTCACCGGTACAAGAGAGCTTCAAACACTCTATTATAGTCTGAACCCACAAAAGAAAAATGAATTTAAATATATGGGTATATGCATAAAGAGACATAGAAGATGATAGTTACTGTTTTTCCGGCGCCATTGGGACCGACGATGAGGGTTAAGGGCTTGAAAAAGGTGATGACATGCTTGTTCTCCGGGTCGAAGCTCCGGATGCCCTTTATCAGCATTTTATCAACCGTGCTCATTTTTGTGTTCCTTTGCTTTGATTTTCTGATTCTACAGTGGAGTTGCCTCTATCTCTCTCTCATTGTATGTGAAGGAGTTACATGGGAAATGGATTATTGCTAGGGGAGAAGAAAAGGGGGCAGTGCTGTTTAGAGGGTTTTAGCTTACACGTGAAGAGTGGGGAGGGCGGGTAGAAAGCCAGTGGGTTCTTTCTATTAGGTAAATCTCATAAATGCACCTGAAGTATGGTATTTGTTTTAAATTGCGGCCTTAACTTTCTATTGTTTTAATTTGAACCTTGAACTATATAATTTGTTTAGCAACCCCATTCATTAAAATAAACTGATAAGGTGCTCGAGCTATTTGATGTGTGGTGTGTGTGAGTTCCTTGCATGCTTGACCAAAAAATAAAAAAAATAACAAATTTATATCCCACATCAGTTGCTCAACACTAAGGAGGTGAGTATAAGTGACCTGATCTGTCTTCCTTCAGTTAACAATTGTCTGGATGTTTTGGCTTTGTGGGTCTCTCTCCACCAATAAAGTGCTTGAGCTTTTTGATGTGTTTGTGTGTTGTGAGTGTGAGCTCCTTGCATGCTTGACCAAAAAAAAAATTTGATAATTAGGACAAATTTTGTTAGGATTAATCATTAAATGAGACAGAATCTCTTGAGATTAATTATTAATTTATCTCATTCAATAATTACTCTTATTGAAAGGAGTTGATTGAAACAAATTACATAGTTCAATAAATAAATTGAGACAATTAAAAGTTTAATGGTCAATTTAAAACAAAAAGTTATAATTAAAGGGGTGTTTATGAGATTTACCCTTTTTATTTCCTACACAAGTAGCCCATAAATTAGGATTTTAGTGCTAATTAAAACTTGAACTCATGTTTGCATCAATTGGGCCCTTAAACTACGTAATTTATAAAAAATTACATTTGAATTAGTAAGAATGACGATAAGAATTTTATATTTGAAGTAGTTTGAAAAAATAACATAACCGAAAAGAGATGAAATAAAGTCCTAGATGTAATGGACTTTTATAGAGTAGTTTGAGTAACTGTGACCTATAATAATTGAAATATGTTAGTTATCAGATAGTTTTAGAATAGCATGGAATTAGTGGCGGCGCTTTCAAGTATTCATGTGGATTTAAGTGCCAAGTGGTGAGAATTGATTGGATGTTGGTTAATTAAATAATTCAAATTTTTATTGATTCAGAAAAAAGATTGGGGAAAGGCTTATGAAGCCTTATACCAAAAGAAAATAATTCTTTTATATATATAGATAGATCTACTGCAACAAATGATGTAAAAACCAATGCACGAGTAACAAAGGATGTAAAAAATGGGGAATGAGTTGACAGGAAGCAAAGAGGGAGAATAAAAGGGAAAAAACAACAACAAAAAAATGGATGTGTGTTGTAGTTGTGGAAATGTTGTTGTAAATAAGACATTATAGACAGATCAAAACTCAATTTAGAGGTTTTTTACATGTCTGAATGGCATGGTAGGTTGTCATTCTACCTCATAAGGCATAATTGTGACTCCTCATAAGATTGAATACTCTGTAAGTCGAATTGGGTAGGCTCAATACAAGAGAGAAGATGTTATGTTTGGTATTGGTGTTTGTTGTTTTGTTATTTGGCTATTGTTAAGCTCAAATGGGAATGAAGAACTAACCGAGGATGGTGATAACTGTAAAATATTGATATTTGATCTTTGTATGTTCTTTTGTTTGGATGAACTGTAGCCCAATACTGGCAGGGAAAGAATTGTAGTAGTTTAACCAGGTAAAGACAGTAACTATTTTGATGACTTGGAGTTTTCATGAATGCCAATGTATTTGATGTGATTGACAAAGTTGCATCACAATTTACACTAGCGAATAACAAAGATCTTAGCCTAAATACATTTAATCATTTAACCAATTGATTGCATCAAGAAGCTTGTTGACATCCAAACCAAGATTCAAAATACTAGTTTGCTAATTGAATGTTAATTGGTCATGACCGGTAGGATTACGAAAATCCATAATAGTCGATAGTCTTGGAGAAACCATTGACCTCTATTGGCCCTTGATGTTTCTCTTAACATGCATAGAATCAGATATGGCTTAAACTAAGCTCAATTAAACAATGGGAATTATCAAATTAAGTTACGTTAGGCTTTTACATTTTGGTTACTTGTTCTTACAGTGCCATCAACTGATACTTGTCCCTCTAATAGTCTGTCGTGTAGCCTTACTCATAAAGCCTCCTGTTTGTTGTGTACCTCAATTACTCTATCGTGATACCCTTTGCACAGGTGGCTCTGTTTGTTTGTGTCCCTCCATTCTTGTGTTGTGCTAGTCCAATCATATTTACATCTATCTGTTGTGTCCCTTAAGCAGTTTGTTTGTCTTTCACTTGACTGTTTTGCCCCTCACCTTCTCCTATTGTGGTAAATGTCTTTCACGTGTATTATAACTCAGGTTAACTTTTTGTTTGCCAACTTTTATTATTTCCAAAGTTAAGTAATTGCAAAATGTTAGTATACATAGCTTCCTCCCGTTTTTANCAAATAACAAAGATCTTAGCCTAAATACATTTAATCATTTAACCAATTGATTGCATCAAGAAGCTTGTTGACTTCCAAACCAAGATTCAAAATACTAGTTTGCTAATTGAATGTTAATTGGTCATGACCGGTAGGATTACGACAATCCATAATAGTCGATAGTCTTGGAGAAACCATTGACCTCTATTGGCCCTTGATGTTTCTCTTAACATGCATAGAATCAGATATGGCTTAAACTAAGCTCAATTAAACAATGGGAATTATCAAATTAAGTTACGTTAGGCTTTTACATTTTGGTTACTTGTTCTTACAGTGCCATCAACTGATACTTGTCCCTCTAGTAGTCTGTCGTGTAGCCTTACTCATAAAGCCTCCTGTTTGTTGTGTACCTCAATTACTCTATCGTGATACCCTTTGCACAGGTGGCTCTGTTTGTTTGTGTCCCTCCATTCTTGTGTTGTTCTAGTCCAATCATATTTACATCTATCTGTTGTGTCCCTTAAGCAGTTTGTTTGTCTTTCACTTGACTGTTTTGCCCCTCACCTTCTCCTATTGTGGTAAATGTCTTTCACGTGTATTATAACTCAGGTTAACTTTTTGTTTGCCAACTTTTATTATTTCCAAAGTTAAGTAATTGCAAAATGTTAGTATACATAGCTTCCTCCCGTTTTTAATTTATGCCCATTGAAATTCAAAATTTGCATTGTTTCAAATTCGAATTTCCGAATTTGAATTTTGTGTTTGTTCATTATTAAGAAGACATGAATAGTGTCTTTTGAGTTATATGGTGTCTACTGAGTTGTGTTAATTTTCATGGTGGCTGTTCAGAACAGTCACCATTTTGTCTACATAAACTCATTCATTTTGCATACAAACATACATTAACGAACATAAATTTTGTGATTAAGAGAGTCATTACTTTCATAATCTTAGTCATTAGTAGTATCCATTTATGAGAGTAAAAAAAATGGTCCATTGGGCAATAAATTGGAATGTTATTTTTGTTTGCGTGAAGATCATTGTATCCAGAGAGACAAACATTGAGATTTTCATTAGCACCAGTGTAAAGGCGAAAATATATCTTAAAGACATCATGTTAAACACTAGCCTTGATCTAAAGACTCAATCTCTATTTGATTGCAATGAGTTTGTTCATTGTGGATCTAAGAGAACAACTCTCCACTACAAGTTTGAACCTCTAGATTGCACAGGTGACTTCAGTTATACACAGGGCTTCCTCTTCCACCCGATAAATAAGCTCCATTGTATTGGTATTGAGTTGGGTGATTCGTATAGGGGTGATTTGGCCAATTCAAATATATGAATCGACCTGGTGGATGCATGTTTGCCTTCAAATTTATATAGGGGTTGGGTATCTTTAGGATTATAAACTGGTCTGTGTGAAGGGAGGGTTATGAGTATGTTGAAAAACTAGGTGATGGGGATGAAATGGATTATAGAGCGGGGAGATTAAAGTTTGAGTTTTGGTTAAACTATTGTTCGACACAACTAAAGGATATTTTTGGATAAGGGGCTCTCAGATTGGGTTCAACCATCTTAAGGTAGTCTTTTGAGTTTTTTTTTATGGTTGAGAGCCATTAGATGGGCGATTTTGATTGATGAGGTTGTTGACTGGTTTCCTTTATGGATTGGATCTATACCTAGGTTAGGCCCGTGGGAGTTTTCAAAGACTATAGCCTTTTGTGTTTCTGGGTTGATCCATTATGTTGTTGGTGGTTTGGTTGGCCCACTGGGCGGAAGATCAAGTAGTTTTGTTGCGTACTTGCCTGGTTCAATGGGCCTTGGCCCTCTTGGGTAGTCAGTAGTTGCTCTAGGGCTTGAAATCTATTGGATTGCTTTGATCCATTTGTAACCCTGGGCTTTTTATTAGTATTAGCCTNGCGGAAGATCAAGTAGTTTTGCTGCGTACTTGCCTGGTTCAATGGGCCTTGGCCCTCTTGGGTAGTCAGTAGTTGCTCTAGGGCTTGAAGTCTATTGGATTGCTTTGATCCATTTGTAACCCTGGGCTTTTTATTAGTATTAGCCTTTCTCTTTCTCGATTGGGCCATTATCTATGGGTTATAGCTCTTATCCTCATCCTATAACTCTACATCTGTTTAAGATTGCAATGCCCTGTGAATGCTTAGTTGTTACCGGTACTGTAGGACCTTTGCCCTTATCTTCTCTAACACCGATGGCAGGGGTGTGTGGGCAAAACATAGTAGAATGGCCAAATTTTCCACAATCAAAGAAAATTAAGTGCAAGCATTCATATTATATCGAAAGAGTTTTCCAATAAGCTTATAATGTGAGATGTTCTGTGCCTTGGATGGTGTAAAATCTGGCTCCCAGCTTCTAACGGTTAGGTAATGATTCATTATAATCCATAGCCCCCTTGTAGACACCTTATTTATATCCTAAACCAATTGGAATTTAATTAGGTAGTACCCATGG